GAAATGTCAGAACTCACCTGCAATTGAAATGGAAGAGATCAACATTTTCCAGCACCTGTACCAGGAAACACTATTTATATGAATTAATGTTCGTATATACAGTATAAACGTACATGTTGGCAGTTTTTAACCCATGGTCTAATAGCTACACTAGGAATTTTATATGAAATTAGCATTCTGGTTCCTCACCTATTCATTTTTTTCTGTGGTCTTTATGTCCAGGGAATGGGAGTAGGAGAAGAGGTACATGCATATCCTACACCCCCTTCTCACCACTGCCCACATCCACTCTCATCACTGACACTAATGTCTGTGCACTTAAGGCATTCTTGGTTCATCATCACACGTTGATGGCGTTGTCTGCTATGTGATTGGTGCACGTGGTTTATTAACTATATGCATTACTTGCTGGTGCACTTTGTGGTCACTTGGGGTGACATGTGGGCACCTAGCTTGCAACTCGCAGGGTATTGGGGTGGACAGAGTTCCCGTTGCTTCAGGCATTGTCAGCTAAGGGATGCAACGCTGTACAAACATGCAGGTGGTATAATCAATGCTGTGATTTGGCCACAGGTTCAGAATTGATTTGAAATGAAGAGGTGCACATCAAATTATACGGACCATTTTACCATGGACAAAATTGAAATCATAATGGGATTTACTACATACATATATTATACATCTCTTTTGGGCTAGTTCATACTTCAGATGAATACAAAAGTCAAGCATATGTAGCATTACAAATTGCTTGCTGTACACTTCGCTGCATGGAGTTAAAATGTGTTCAATGTTTGTGAATTTCAGTGTGAATATTTAAAGTGATGATGATGTTTGAATTTCCCTGTAGTCAGGAGGTATTTGTGATCTAACCAGTACAAACAATGAGACCAAATTTTCACCATTGTAAGTTATAAGGTAATCCTGCTTGTGAAAAGTATTTGCTGGTACATGTAAGTGAGACTGATTTTAGTGAGGCAGTTCAGTATTTCAACAATGCATATGTCTTAAATGAAGCACGTCTGAGGTCATGTGGGAACAGCAATACATGGACGAGGTCTGCCTGATCAGCAGAGCCATATGGACTTGGACACATACATTGTTTTTTCAAATATCCTTTTTTGAAATACGAAACTAGATCATTGCATCACGACCAAGAGTGTTTTTTCCGTTGTATTGCTACGGCAATAGTTTTGGTAATAACCACCATCCCTGTACACTGCAATAACATGGGCAGTTCCCTTTCCCAGTTCCACATCACTAATTCTTTCAAATGCTAGAAGCAAATCAGATTAATACACTCTGTTTTGTGTGAATAACCCAATTCCACCAGATTTTGTTGGAAATTCATCATAGACACTCTCATCTTATGAAAATACATGGCAGGTAAAAATTGAAACAGAAGAATACAGTCAATGTATGTTGGACTTTAAGCATGCATAGGCCTTCAGAATTATAATTAAGAACGCTTTACCCACAAAGCTAAAATGTATAGTGTGACATGAACAGAAATGCAGATAGCCTTCTTGAAGCTCCAGATCACCTCACAGCTGTCCAATGAGGTCAAGAGGAATCCTAGTCAAGATTTCTGCAGAAACTGGCTGGAGGATGCATGCTGCCATTGTGGAACAAATTGCTCAGACAGTTGGCAAGGATATGACAGGTTTAGCATGTTGATTGGTCCCAGGTTGTCAAATTAAGTAATGATTGGTCTTCTGAAAATTGCAGAACTTGTCAGCTCTCTCACTAGTTTGCATACACTTTTCCAGTTTGTAAAACATTTAAGGACAACCCCAATCAGCCAGAGGTCATCAGTTTCTTCCAAAAGGTTCTTTCAAGGGACTTGGCCTGGGTAGGTTCATGTACATGATTCTGAAATGATTTTCTAAATACCGTTGCCACCATTCTTTTAATCTTGAAAGTCTTAAAGACTACCACCTCCCCCAGTACTCTCACTGTTACACAATGGCTTCTGGTAGAGGCAGAATGACCAAATTGGAAGCCAAGAGACAGGCAGCAAGGTAGTCATTGAAAGGGATTAATTGTTCTTATGTTAGTTACCAAATAACAGCTACCATGCATGCCCTCGAATGTACAGCTTTGTGCACAGGAAAATTGACCATCTTCCACCTTTTGTCTGCTAAAGACAGAATTAAATAGTACAGCTTTCAATGCTTGAAGAGTAATTTCTATCAGTCATTCTGCCGTCAGATTCAATTGTCTCCTTCCTATCAAACTCAAACTGTGCAGGAACTGAATATTTTTGTGCTTTAACTTTCAAGAGGCAATCAGACCTTATTTGAGGTAATAATAGCTGGGCCATAATGAATATTCTTAAGGTTTATGAAATCCTCCCATATTTCCATAAGGATGTGGGAAAGCTGGGGTCAAGCAAATTTGACTGCAACATCGTTTCAGTTGAATTTATCAATTATTTTCCGAAATACTTATATGAACTGACTGAATTACTTGAATACGCCCCTTAAGATTGGGATCAGTTTGTCTGACAACACAATGTCAGGTCTACAGGTAGAGGCAATGAATGTTTTGCAAGTATTTTTTCATAAAAAAAGAAGTAGCAATTAAGAGGACTATTGAGATCTGCCCAGTTTCCTATCTTTCTGGTCGACAGAAATGTTCATCATTCACAGGATTCAGTTAATTGCATGAATGTTCAAAAAATGTAATTTTAAAATCTTCTTAAAAACAAGTAACAGTACTTGCAGAAAACATCGAGGAGTTCAATACATGTGTGTGACATCTGGAGTTTCCCACTTTCTACACTCACCTAGACTCCCCCTCTCCCCATGTACTCAAAGTGTGTCCCGACTAGCAATATCAACAGTCGTATAATACAGCTGTATTTGCTTGCTGTAGCCGATAAATCTCTTGACAAGCTCAGGTTTCTTTATTTCCTATCATTGGTGGGATATTCATTGTCAGTCACACAGACACTTGAGTGACATTATGAGATCAATTGATGCCCAAAGGACCAATTTCACCAAAGCCTCCATGTCATTCACCTTGTGTTGAATGTGCATCTCCATGTGTACTTATCAGGGTTCACATACCGATGGATACCTCTGTAATCTCCCAAAGTTGAAAGCCTGGAGAACAAAATTTGCAGGGTATCACAAAAAGTTCCCGCCAAATATGTGCACTAAAAATTCAGATCAGGTGGCTCAGGTTACAAAATACACCCAATGCAAACAGTGCAATCAGAAAATCCAAGTTTGACTCTTGGTGCAGCAATGCTGAATTGCCTACAATTGATGTCAATTCTATTTCATCAAAAACAAAAATTCATAGAGAGAATCAATTTATGCTTTCATTCTTTAATGTGATCCATGATCTCACAAACATGTACTTCAGATCTAATGCACTCTTGCTTTACAAGCCTTTAGATCTATGGCCCTGCATTAAGGGATCTTGCTTTGAAAGATCACTTTCTTTGTTGTTTTCTTTTTGATGGAAATCCAGTGAAGACAATTTGTTATTATGTTTACCTTAATAAGCCCTGCAACAAATGGAAGGGGCCTAGATGGCTCTTAGGAATGTTTTATTAGCCTGAGTAAGGCAGTAATAATGATGTTACACCTTGAGTTCTAATTGAAAATATGGACGCCGGAAATGTCAACAGTGAAGTTATTATATTAAACACATGTTTAACACCACAGCCAAATATAGCTGGAGTTTTTTGCATTTTCCTTCCAAATTGATTTCATCGACGGGCTTTGTAATTAGAATATTGTATAAACACTTTCAAGGACATTTAATCCTCCAAGATTCCTGGCCTCAGAATTCTCTGGGAGCTTTGACTGAGAAAGGCAAAGTGATTGTCCAACCACACTGTTTTCCCCACACAGGGATTCCTCCTTGAATGCATTCAAGTACATTTCAGATTGTGCCCGAGGTGTCTTCCACAATGGAGGATCTTGCGGGATTGAGAAAAATTTCGATCTAACATGCTGAAGAAAGTTTCTGCTTATTTTGATAAGAAGTTATCAGTAACAACCTACTCATGAAATGTGATTTACATTAAAGTGTGCTGCGTGTATGTGACTGGCTGCAATTAGGCTCACTCTGAATATTATTTTCTTAACTACAGTGTATCATGTTCATGTAATTGCTTTTTTCAGTTTTCATCTGTCCTTACAATAACATTCTGGCTATTGCTAAGTATTGCTGTTCACGTGTTTTGGTAGCTTTTCATTATTATGTTTCTACCATCTTTGGCTTATTTGTATTTATCTTCTCTGATGTATATATTTACAATGCTTAGTCATACAGGTATTCGACTTTTAGACATATAGTGTAGGTATAATGTTTAACTTTGATGATTAAGCCAAATTATCTTATGGAAATGTCATATTCAACTTCAGTTCATGATTTCAACAACATTCATTTTCAACAAGCAAAGTTTGGGTTCACAGTTTGAACAGAAAACCCCCACATGAGCTTTAACTTCCTGTGATGACATCGAAACTCTTTATCAGGAAAAGCAGTGGAAAAGTTTAAAATGTCTTTTCATTGAGTGCAGCCAAAAACATGTCAGATAGCTTCCCATATTTGAAAAAGGTGTAGAAAATTACGCAAAACATATTCAAACATATTGAAGTAAACTTCATCAATGAGTATAAACTTTCGTTTGATCACATAAACAAAACAAGATCAATCTGGTACTATGAGTCTTTCTGTGATGTGTTGTATAATTCTGCTTGACAGTTTTTCTGTCATCGTACAACATATTACAGGAAACAGGCTGTGAACGATACTAAATGCATGGCAAAAGATCAAGAAAAACACAAGATAACATCATCGTCATATTGAACAAATTTCCTTTGAAACAAATTGCTAAAACTTCTTCCCCAAATCATTTATACATAAAAAACAGCCTCCGTCTGCATAATGGTACACGGTATATTGGATCAAATTGCATCCTCACCCTGACGTGCCTTAATGTGGTCTGTTTGACAGGTCTCCAATTCGTTTTGACCCCACAGATTATCGACGACAAGAAGTCCTCCCGCTACTGCAGTTTCAAGAGGCCAGCACCACTCTTATCTTCCACTCACAGCCTCCGCTTGGAGTATCATCTTAACGGAAACCAAAGACACCATGGCTATGGTGTATTCAGTCTGAACTACTTCTTCATCACGCTACAAGAGGCTGAAGAATTCGAACGCGAGTTGAAAGGGGGAAACTATGGTAATGAAAATATTTAGTGGAAGTAAAGTCAGTGGACGTTGTTGACACTGAAGTCATTAATTTTCCTTTGAATCAATGGAACTGCTGCACAAAGTATTGCAGTAGCATTGGGGAAAATATTAAATTTGAGGCAGTATAACGTAGTACATGTTGAAAAAATTGAGCTTAAGTCATTGTTGAAAAGGTTAAAAAGGGGACAATTTTCTATACTAGAGGCTGTTATGGTAGCTATACCATTTGTTCTTTATGAAACCTCCCTCAAGTTTTATTAGGAGACCACAATCAGTGAGTATGACCAAAGGCATGCTGACTGTAGGGAAACTTGCATAAGACAGAACTAGCTTCAATGCAAAGTTTTAATACAAACTTTAAAAATGGACCTTCACATCTCAGCTACCCTCATTTTCAGTTTTGTTTAACTGTTTTAAGGGGTCTTTTGATGCATTTTTGGTTTACTGCTAATGAGAAATGTGTATATTCATGATAAAACTGTGATGTCATCTCGGGAAGAAATATCTCAATGTTGTATTGGTTTGTGCACAAAAAAGTGCTTAAGTTTTTTAAAACTTTGCTGGCCTCAATTTTCTTTTCTTGAATGATTCATTGTTGAGTAAGTTCCCAGCAATAAGCAAACATGCAACCCATTATCAGAAATGTTTTCGTTTAGTTTTTGGTTCACAATTTTGGTTTCACAATTTGAACAAAAACCCTATGCACCGAAACTTGTCTTCTCTGAATTACATCACAGCAACAGTGCCCACAGTGTTCTGGGAAAGCATGGGCAAGTTTTAATGTTTTACAAATTGCTCTTTTCAATGCATTTTACCAAAAAGGGATGTCAAATAATTTTGATACACTGAGGACGAGTATAAAGTTGCAGAAAAATGGGGTCTCAGAAAAATTCATTGTGGCAACACTTTAAAAGAAGTGCTAGCTGTGACAGTTAATCAGCTCAAGACTCATCTGAGGAGATGCTATTTCTCACAGCGGCACTAATGTGCACATTCGGTGAGGCAGCAGTAGCATACACTGCATGTCTTAGCACAGTTCTGTCAAGAAATAAATTGCTTATACTAATGGGTAACATTTTTCAGCTGTGGTTACTATGGCAACAGCATCCCATTGGGCCAAAATGCTCTGTGCATGTAAATGCATAGGTTCACATGTGTATGACATACAGTACAAGCTGCCAGGACTCATTGCAACCCACATTGTTTGCACAGACACCAGTTTAATACCGACACTGTAGGCCCATGCACAGCCCCCCCTTCCTTGCCACTTGAGAAGGTGTACTGATACATGTACCTATACATGTCTAGACTAATCTGAAAAGACGTCATTACCCTAAGAGCACTTTAGCAAGTTGTGACACCTTATCTGTTGAAGAGGAATATGATGTGTGCGAACAACCTTTTTGTACACAGATGGGCCCACAGCAATGACTTTTAATTCCAGTCACTGGATCCTATTAGTATCGTTACATGTACAGTTTTTCTGTTACCTGTGTAAGGTTACAGACCAGCAAACTGTCATATACAACATCAATTTTTAGGAAAAATATACAGAACTTGCTGAATTTTGTTACAGACATCAAATTAAGTAAGGGTTATTTTCATCATTTACTTTCTGTTCAGTTTGACTTTTAGATGATCTTAAAGGAGATGTTTAGAAGCCATTTACCATTTTGAAATGAGTTCTATTCTCTTTATTGTAAAATGGACCCATTTCAGAGTTCAAATTATTTGAAATTTCTCTAAAATACAAGCTTACAGTTGCATTCAGAGCCTTGCAGTTGGAGCCCATACAAACCCACACCAAGCATGGCAAGAAAAACCCTTGAATAAGAAAGGCATGGAAGGCATGGAATTATGATTTATTCAGTGCAGGTAATTTGAGGCCTATTTACCAACGTGCACTCTCCAATAGCTGCATTGACTCAGTTGGCCCCTCAGTGGACCGTGTGAGTGCTGTAAAGTAAATAGCCAATATGATGCAACCAACGTTGCATCATGTACTTGCAAATTTACAGAAAGTGTCAGAAAAAAGGTTTAGTTTGAAATTGAAGAGATAATCTGGAGGCCATCATTACAGAATTCTGTTTTGGCAGTAAATAATTTCAGGTGGTCTGGTATGCTGTGATTGCTGTAGCAGCTACATTTGAAATGTTTTTAATAATCGATCATGTCATGTGAACATTTTTCTATAGAGCAACATCTGATACTAGCCATTTGCTGATTCCTTGTTAGTTTTCTTGTACCACAAACAAGGTTGGGGTCTGGAAAAATGTCAGATCCAGCAAGTAGGCCCATTGCAGTCTGTCCAGGGACTCATCAGCCATACAAACATTCTGCCTGTGGTGTCAAGCCCAGTCTCAAGTCTTCAAATCAGGAGTGTGCCCAAGGGGTGCTGGAGGAAGGAGGAAGGAATCAGGGAAGGGGAGGGAGATTGGATTAGTTGGCTGTAATGATGTGGACAACCTTAGACTGCTCAGCCCCTTAGACTGCTCAGCCCATTATTAACAATGCATACAAAGTTGGGGCTTTGCATCATGCACTTTCCAAAGCCTGTAAAAATACATGAATTATACAAAGAAGTCAGAAAAATCTCAACTATGCTATGAATAAACTTCTTCCTGAAGAAAAAAGACAAAAAGAAAGCCAACTATACATTCATGTATAGCTGACAAGGAGATTGGCTAGAATTTGAAAATATGTTAATGAGCATGTAGTCCAAATTCATTTTTTATATTTGTTTTGCGTGTGCTTTATAGAATTGTCTTTCAATGCATCAAAACCTCACATGGATTTTAATTTAATAGGAAATACCTTATTTGTTGAAAAGATATTCCCCACATCAGACTGCATCTATTGCTGGAACTAATTTTGTCCTAAATGGAAACCCTTTCCCCTAAATGAACAAGGCATCAATCCTGGCCTGAATGTTTCATAGCAAGACTTCACTGCTGGAGAGTGCTTCAACAAACATCTACTGCCCACATTTACCCACCCTCTATAAAAGGACACACCCCCCAAAAAGAAAATCATTACACAGAAAACAGCTGCTATTCCAACTCCAGAGGGCAGGAGTCTGTCTGTGAACTGAGATAGTTCAACTGATGAGACTAGTTTTTGTTTTAGGCCCTCTAGTTAAAGTGTACAAATTTGATAAATCTTGTGTGAACAGCTGTAGCTGCCTATCTGTCTGGGAGGAGCCTAGTAGGGGCAATTAGTATTCACAACACAAAGTTTACAAGGATTTCATTAATATTTAATGTGGAACTGACCTTAAAAAAATGGCAAATTATGTGTATTTGTGAATATCTGAAACTCCCGAAATGAGTCAATTATCTTAATGGGAGATTCTCTAAGAATATCGAGTTTGTAATTTTGATTTCATTTATTTGCTTTTTGTACAATATAAAAATGTAATAAAGACAAAGTAGAAACAGAAATCTAGATTGTTAAAAAAATATGTTCAAAGAAGAAACCCTGTCAGTGGAGAAGCAGGGATAATACAGACAAGTTTAAAGACTTATTTCCATTGCAGTTCTGTACACGGAGTTTGATGAGTTTTGGTACGGGTAAACGAATAGGCAAATAATGTATGTTTACACATAACCTGTTCAGGTCAGGTAAAATTAAATAGAGTCTGGTTCAATCAATAAATGTCAGAGGAAGTACAGGCAATTCAATCAAGCAGTGATTAATTACCCTTGAAATCGTTCTGCAGAAATTTCTCAATTGGGACACTGAACAGTTTTAGGTTTCTATTGCTTTTTCTGAATGGGGTTGGTTTTGTAGTTGTTGAGGCAAATCCCAATATCAATTTCAAATTGTCTAAATGTTGCCAAAGATGTTTTTAGCTATTAATTTTATTTCCAGTAATCAGATTTTAGCATTTTCCTCTAAGCATTACATTTCATGAACTGAAAATTTGCAAAATATGTCCACCCTGATCACAACATTTGCATATTACTGTGACATTGTGATCACATCATCGTATTTGCTGAATTCTGAAATTTTTTTATAAAAACAAAATACCAACTCAGAGGAATTGTTTCCAGACTGTAAACAGCAATTCCTCCAAGTGTTTGGTCCATTTCTATGGTGATGACATGAGTCAGCCAGGAATATATGCAGTTTGGCACATCCTCCACTGTAGCATCTAGAAAGATTTCCACAATGATGGATGGTTTCAGTTTGCTACAAGTACATGTACGTTGGACAGTTCACACATACATGGGGTGATGGGGACAACACCTGTTAAAACATGGACATTGTGAGGTCCAAAGATGTTCTGGGAACAATTTTTGTCCTCACATCTCGGCCCTGACTTTTCTAGCAAAATAAATTGTCCCCTTAACACAGGGAAGGCCCACTCAACAGCAGAGTTGTAGTTGAGACCGGATAGTCTGAGACTGAGACCAAGACCGAGACCTGAAGTTGCGAGACCAAGACAACCCCCTTCAAAGTGGAGCGAGACTGAAATGGTCCGAGACCAAGGATAATAAACAACAATAGTAGAAATAAACAAACGAGACACAAAATTACAAATGAACCACAATATACAATGAATTGTTAACAGGGTTGACAACATTATATGTGGGCTAACAAATGTTTGAACTATCAACTGTACTGAAAAACGCGAATGAAATGAATAGGTTTTATATATGGTACTGAAGAAAACAAAAACATGACGAAGTAAAGTAAAGTAATTGATTGTATGCTACTTAGTGCCGGTCTTTACCTTAGACCAGCCACATTTTCAAGACCATAGGGGAATGAAACTGCAGCTCCCAAGACTGGTCTCAACACAAAAGAGGAAAGGCAAGGGAATTTGCCAATTTTCATGAAATGCCTCAAGAGCTGATCTCACTTTGGTGTATTTTTTTTTTTGTTCTTTTGTCACTCAATCTGCTAATAGTGTCTCCCAACCCATGCAACCGACCCCAACCCCAACCTCAACCCTCCCCTCTAACAACAAAGGGCCCTTCTACCTCCTGGCACTATTCATGGTATTATGATGGAAGATGAAACCACTCTTTGGAGATCCGTCTCCAAAGCCCAGCTCTCTGGCTCATAGGGGAGAATTGGGCTAGGTTTTCCAAGCGAGTGGAACCTACCTGTACTTTGGGATCAGTTTTTGATTCCTTAAGCGAAATTGCACTACCTTTACTTTGGGGTTGTCATGGGAAGTGATATTAGTAGCAAGCACCATTTAGAATAGAAGTATTTTGTTGCAACCATCTGAACTAAAATGTTTTCTGAAATGTGTATTCAGTGTAAAAAGCGCCCTCTCCTGATGACTGAAAGAGAATTGAAAATATTTCATTTGAAATCATACATGTTTGTGTGACTTTTTTACTGAAATGTGCATTAATCTGCAGCCGTTGTAGTATGAAAAGTTTTGGCTTAAAATGGATCAAATCATCAGATTGAAAGTTATTGTAGAAAGAGTGTGAAGTTGATAATTTCTTCCAGTAAATGTAGCTTAAGTTAACCCCATCACGAGCACAACAGCAGTGGTTTGTATCAGATAAAGTTCTGAACCTTTGGAATGCTGTAACATGAAACCATACGTGTAGATAAAAGATGTGTTAGAAATCTGCATACTCTTCCTTTTTCCCTGGATTATTGTCTTTTAATCTTGCACATGTTTGAGTACTAGTTGTGACTTTGGATGGTTTCCTTTCCCAAAGCCCAGTTTAATTTTAGCATCTCAAGATTAAACAAGTCAAATGCAGATTGCATATCTACATGGCAGAATCAGACTGTGGGTTTTGAAATTTATAATGTCATTCCACAGGGAGTTGTGCATATAATGGAAATATACATGTATATGAAATGTAATGTCATTTAAAGTCAAAGTAAAAAATTCATGTTTATCATTCCTTCACTCGCCCGTTTTGGAAGCCATCTGGATTTTTGTTACCATTGGAAAATGAGGTGGAAAGAGAGTATAAATGTTCACCAATCTATCTGAAAATGAAATACCTGTAAATCAGAACTTCTCACATTGTAGTCTGTCAGTCACACCATCCTTGTACCCCTTTGTACAACTGCAAATCATACACATGCCTTTGATACCATCTTCATCCACTACCATGGACCCATGCTGTTTCCAGCCAAAACCAAGTAATTCCTACTGCCTCGCATGTTCTATCATTTTCTCTGGCAGTTGCTTTGAACAAAATAGCTAAATTCACAAGCAAATGGAGGTAGCACACAAGAAACTTTACGCATGACTAAACACTCGCTGGATGTCTCTCTCAAGCTTATTGGAGTGAACCCAGGTGTAGCAGTGTGCACCACATACCTTTCATGCAAACTGTGCTTTTGAATTCTTATGAAACCTGAATATTCAGTTCTCTTGTGCAATGCACTCTATCATTTTTGTGTCTTTGAGCAGTAGAAGCCCATCAGTATTTTGTATTTTTCCACTTCATCTAGTAACACCAGAAATTAATCAAGCGTCTAAATGATGTAGCTTAGTAGCTACACTTGTACTACCTGGCTAAGAACCTTTTTAACTCAAGAATCGTATAGCATTTTGTGTATGATTTTCCTTTATGTTAGATATCAGTGATGTAAAAATGTGATTGATGGTGCTTTTGAAGTAATAGAAGAATGGAAGGAAACAGGCAGCAGTTTTGACCTGAAACTGAGACACTGTACATCTTCGGAAACTGACTACTTCTTTTTTATAAATCTTTTGATAAAACTGAGCCAAAAGTGGGAGAAATCTTTGTTAGACAGTCAGGTCACAACCAATTTCCTGGTTTGCTGTTATGGTGCATTTTGAACTTTTCCCATACTTTGACAACATTCACTTTCACACTGTGCATCCCCTGATACTTCAGGAAGTCATGGGCCAGATCAGAAGTAATTTTGCTTCTTTGCCATTCTGTTGCCGTGACCATTCACAGTCTGTTGCCTCACCTATTGCCGACTACTTCCTCTCCCAAACATCATTACCCAGTAGTTAAGCAGTGAGATGAAAATACGGTGTAGGTCGAGGGTACTTTCCAAAGGAAAGCTGTCAAGCAAAAATACATCAAAGAAAAACCCCTTTTGAGGCCTAGTGCTGCCTAAATTACAGCGTTGTCAAAGATCACCCGAGAATTGTGTGACTGAGCGTGATCCTTCATTATTTCGAAATGGCAGGGAAGTAGTTTGAGAGTGCCTCTGGCAAGGCGCCATCAGATTCTTGATTTGTGTAGACCGTGTGCGACATGTAGGTGCCACACTCTGCCGGCTGAGGAAAGCAACCCTGCCAGCCAGGCAGCATTGTAATATTGGGCAAACGTGCCAGTGTGGCCACTTTGGGATTGCCTTGGGCTACAAAACACCCAGGACGTGTCCAGATTTGAACCAACAAGTTTTTTGCAATGTGAGCAACCTTTCACATATCATGTTTGACCAAATCTAACAAAATGAGTCACAAGTCTCCAGAGCCACTTCTGATTAAAGGCCTTTCAAACAATCTCGCAGAATAAAAATCAATAGAAACCCTCTTTTTTCCATCAAGTCTATTTTCATCAGGATGTCAAAATTAGAGATATGTAAAAAACATAGCACGCTAAAAACTTATTTAGAAAAAGATGGCCTGAAGACTTGCTTCATGGGATTGGGTAAAAACTTTCAACAGATGCATAGAACTAAAAAAAATGCTTCTAATTTTGGCAGGAGTTGGACCCAAATGACATGATCAGCAGTTCAGTATTGGATTTTTGGCAAGTACAAAAATTAGCTAATAGTTGATGATTGCCTAAGATGGCTATGGATGGTGACTTTACTGTTGCTGCTTCTTGGGTCAAGAGAGACCAGGATAATTACCATCTATGAAAAACCCCCTTCCTCTTGTTGTCCAACCAAACAAGTGTAAAATTAATGTGATGGTAACTGTTGGGAGAACTGTAAATACAATAAGGTGAACTATTTAAAAAAAAGCGACATTGCCTACCGCCCGGCACTGTATGATGTATATTTACTATGAAATATTTATTTACATCTGTTCAATCAATGGTGCATTTAGTGCAGGATGAAGTGACAATTAAGAAGAGAATGGAGAAATGGTCAGTGCGAGAGGTCGGAGGAAAACCCAGAATGAATATTCCTGGGAAAACCCACAGAATCAGGTAGAGACTGAAAACCCAACCCACATGCTGACCTAGGTGGGATTCGAACCCGGGTCACAGAGTTGGAAAACGAGAAAAGAGCCATCACACCAGCCTTACTCCCTGAATACTATAGTCTATAGATTTTCGGTCTGTACATTGATAATTCAAAATAATATTCTTTGCCTATGTCCACTTTTGTTCTCTTATGTGATAGTCCAGAACACAGCATATGAGGTAGCCATCATTGGTCACATCTCTATTGACATCTTGAGAGCACAGACACATTGGGTGGACTACTTATGGTATCTCAGGGGCAGACCAGGTAACAGGCTGCTGCTTAACATTTTAGGTAAGTCTGATGAAAGGCAGGCTACCACAGGATAATTATTGTTATGTTTTGTTTGTCAACGTAGCTGCTGTCTTTAATGGCTTATTTGTTCCGAGGGGATCCAGCTTGCATCAGTGATCATTGATTTGTTGCTTCATGTATCATACAATGGCAGACTGTATGAAGTTGGACACTGTGTTTCTGTAGAAGCTCATTCATAACACAGAATAGTTACACAATGCACATTTCTGCTGCTCTGCTTTTGTAATGGGAAGCCTATCTTATTGTTCATTGTTAGTGACAATAGCAGTAATGAAAGAACAAAACAACCAAATTTGCATTTCTTGCAACAAAAAGCAACTGAAAAAAATGAACAAGAGACAAACAGACTTTACCCAAATGTTTAATACCATTACTTTTCTCCTGGGAGTCTGAAAGTAGGACAGCAAATGTACACATATTCTTCCAATTTTGAGCAATTTGCCATTTTCTTGCATTGATATTCTGTCAATATCCTTGTTCCAACCTTTACCATTACAGCTTTTTGGACTGTTCAAAGAGCTTCAGAATTTTGGACTTCATCAGAAATATTGTAGCATTTAGAGCACTGGCATACAAAGTAATCTCTGTGCATACTAACAGGATGGCCATTTTAAGATGGAACAAGATTTGGCCCCAAAAGACCTCTCTGTTTGTGAAGAGGGCATGTAAGTCATGTCTGCTACCTTCGCAACATATTGTCAAACCAGGATCTAGAAAGAAAACAACTTCAGAGATTTCTGTACAGTCAAGGAGAATCTTACATATTATTGGACAGAGAAATCCTTTTTTCCTAGAATGGAAGGTTTGATGGGAGATATCACACAGGTATTGTGGATACAATTAATACAGTGCACCAGCCAGTTACACAACCTTGTTTTTGCAGCCCAAGATGGGATATTCCCCTTTTTTATGTCAAATAAATAACTGAATATGAAAAAACGTCCACTTCCATGAGAGAAGGTTTTACCCCAAAAAAAAATCATCTCTAATATACACCTGTCTCACCAAGTAAAATAAAGCCACTTGGAGGTAGATTTGGGTCTGTCTTTGAAAACACATAGTCCTACATGGAGGCAACACTTTCCCATAGTTTATTTCATTTTGACCAAATTAGTGACTTGGCTCTATTTGTATTCAGTATCTTGCATCTGATTTAGAAGTGTGATCAATATTTGAACCTCCTTTTTTTTTGGTTAATATATTTCTCATTGCCCGTTGGCCATGTCAAAACCCCAGTGCATGAGCTGCTTTTGTTTGAATTCTTAAAAGAGTACAAGTACCAAAAATATCACCACTATAACCAATTTCTTGATTTTGAGTTTTATGTGGAGGATATTGGACATGTCAGGCCCTTCCTAGCAACATCACCGCAGTAGTGTGAACTCGGCAATTGATGTAGGCAGAGAAGTCATGATCAGTTATCCCATCCAATGAGATAAACTACCTATAGACCAACAACAGTCGGCCATTTCCAAAAACCATGATTAAACACTATATCATTCCCAGAGGTTACTTTGGTACACTGCTGGGCATCATGGAGACAAAAATTGGGGCAGACCATTGCAAACTTAAACGTATGCACAGTTGGTTGCACGTCGTCTGACATGGCATATTTTTTCCTCAAACATTAATGATGTCATCATTAAAGACCAAACTGCACAGAAGGTGAAATTATGATGGATTTCAAATATCCCATCGTTTAATGACCATTTTTACAAATAATTTTGATTTGACACAGTTCCTGAAGTTTATCTTAAAGAACACTGAGAACTGTTTCAAAAACATGTAAAAACTTGGCAAATGATCTTTTAACAAACATGAAATTGAGGCAAATATGAAAAACTGTGGAAGTTTGTTCATACATGTACATGTTGCTGTGATGTACTGAAACAATAATTTTATTTGTGGAAAATAACTGAACATCAAATTCAGCTGTGCAACATGTAATATTTTCAGTCATCATCCATAGTTCTGATTTGTATCACTCAATTAACGTTGCTCTATATTCTTGTGCAGACCTGTAATGACTTATGTTTAGTTGGGCACTGTAAAAATTATGATACCCAGACATTGATTGTAATAGATGTCAGTCTCTAGGTATTTTAGGTCTGTGATCCCAATAGAATGTAGATTCCAGTGCTCTCTACAGACCTGTTGCTTTCTCTATCATAATTTGCTTTTCTGCAGTACATAAATTTTAATTGTTCACATATCATAAACATGTGTGTTCTCTCCATTATTTCAATTGGCACTTGTAAATAGTTCCAGTCCCTGTAGACTAGGGAACAAAATGTTTTTTGGTTCTGTCCGCTCCGAGCAGGAACAAAAGAAATGAAATGAAAAAGAAATGAAATTGGCAGTCCTTTGGCACTCATGCACCGCATATAGGTGTGCAAGTTTATGTACGTTTCACGAGGAGCATGCTGAGTACGTACAACGATTTTAGTCTAGAATGTATGGTTTTCAAGTGCATGCCGAACGCGTGCTAGAACCCGGTTGGAAAATTAAGTACAATCAGTCTTTTTTTCCCCGGTGAGGGTGCACTTCAGCTCGGGGCGGGTAGGTGAAATGCTCATGCATGCCGAGCATGTGCACACAGACATATCTACCTATCATGTCTTTGTTTTCGAGTGTGTGAACAAAGTTTCTTTGCTGCATGGACAAAATTGCTATCAGCAGAATATTCTGTGCATCACATCACCATCACATTAGACCCAGATCACTGCAGAATCTGACAGATGGATGCGGTGATATGGACGAAGTAAAGTACATTTACAGTGAGAAATAGCCAAAAAGATGGGGTAGAAACTACATCATCTGTCACAAATTTGTTATAAATAAATTATACAGCTGGCAGGGAAACTGTCAAGCAAGTTTGCTCTGACAAGGCTGCACATTGAAATCACACAAGGGACTAAACTGTATACATTATAAGTGTTGCGGAGTCTTTAAAAGACAGATAGATATTCAGGGACAAGCTGTCAAAATTCATGAATGTCACTGTATTCACCATAAAGGGGCCTCAGGGTATGTACATGTATATGGGTTTCAAGTGACGCAGTCGTCTCTCACAATTTCTAAAGCAATTTTGCACGGTGTAACTGTGGTAAAACAGGCATTATTTGCTCAAGCTATATAACAAACTATCGTTGAAGTTTATGTATACAGTTGCATAAGGCATTTATCTTGTTGGCTGTTAGTGGCATTATGTAATTCATATGATATACGTGCTATTTTACATCTAACTAGAATGGATCCAATTTTGTAAATGATGTAAAACAGGAAGAATTATATAAGTTTTCTCATTAATTTGGAAGATATGAGTGATTGAAATGCCGGTGTGAAACACTTCACCAAAGCAAACAAGAAGTACCCAAGATTTCAGCTTTGTTTTGTAAGAATGTGAAGTGATCAAACCGTTCTCCAAATTATTTTTGTTTATATTATGCTTACTATTTTATTTCAGCTGTCAGCATTAATCCAGCTGGCATGTTAGAGGTTCGAGATGGTAGCACCTCCATGTCACCTCTTCTCCTTCTGATACAGAGAAACAGCACTAATGTCATGGATGTCATTTCAACCCAAGAAAAGGTCTACGTTCATTGGCATGGCCCAGTCAGCCAGTTCAACAGACTCAGATTTGTCTACTCCAATGTGGCACCAATGGGTAAGTGGATCCAGTTTAGTTTTCAGTAACCTTTTCATCTGGCTACCTGTAGTGGCCCTCACTGGCAGAAGAAGTATTGAAAAGAATTCTTGTTTTAAGAATGGATATGCCTAATCTTTGCATGCCCAAAGCAATAAAAATGACACTTAATTGAGGAACACTTGAGAGCTATTCTGTCAGCGCCAAAGCTCAGAAACTCATATCTTGTGAGAATGTTTTGTGCACGTAGTTACAGATCATATAGGAATCGGCAGGTGCTTGTGATTTTGTCTTTTTTGTAGTTTACTTACAACTCTGAGGTCTGTAGGAACTGAAGGAGCATACTGTGTATGTAACTCTGTGTTGAAGAAAAAAATCCCCTTCTATAGAATAGTAAGAATGACATCATAGTAAGAGCACTAACATCTTTGAGAAAAGGCATGGAAAATGGTGGTTTACAAAGGTGTCTTTTTCAATACAACGAACTTTAAAAAAGAAATATCAGTAGTTTCTTATATGTTTCATACATTTAGAGGAGCGGAAAGTTGTGCAAATTTTGCATCTGGGAAAAAAGAAATCACATGGACCCTTTAAGCAGGTATAGATATAGCCTTGCATCATGGAGATCTGGGTGCATTGTAGGTGTCTCCTCAGAGCTTACACTTGCTGAGGAAGAAACAAAAAATGTAAAGTCTGTGTCAGTATGAGTCGTAGCATATTTTCATCACCATTTTGACATTTTGACCCCAAGTAGGCCATTCAAATCAAATGAATGATATGCTCTTCTGGGTGTATTGCTTCACCAGCTTTGGTCATGGTTCATCAGTGCTGAGAGTTCAGTCACTTCTCTAGCTGTTGAGAAATTCGCGGAATTTACTGCTGAGAATCGTGTCCGGCTACATTAATATAATAGGTTGTGGTCCTGATTAATTTCACACCTTTTCTGACACATGAATGGTGCAGTTAATCCGGGCTTGATTATTTTGGGGAATTTGCATACTGTACTTTTCTCTGAAAATCGCACTTTGTTGCTTTCATAAAATATATCAGGATTTAATATGAGGAGAGACGCCAGTTCCTTTCAAAGAACTGCTAGTACTTTCTTCTTGTTGTGAAATTGAAGTACAGCTTTACTTGCTATGTTGCCAGTGGGTCTTCACATGTAAATATAGCTCAGTTCTCCACTGGGCGAAAAGACTGACGCAAATACCAGTCCCACGGGCTGCCTGGCGGTCACATGTTCCCTTTTGTTTCTACCAAATTATATACATTCAAGTGAGAAGTGACCGAAGCACTATGTCTTAACCAGTTACACATGTACTAACCCTGAATTTGAGCCTTTTTTCATGCAATTTACTGATTCAGTGGATTTGGATAGAAACCTGCGCTGGAAAAGAATTCTACAAATTAAAGTCAAGAATCAAACATTGCTGGAACTTCTCTTATATTACATGTGGTAAATTGTGAATGATTTTTTTAGTCTCCAAGAAATTTTAAATGTTCACAATGGAGAGAAAGTTCACTGATAGCAGTCAGCAGAACTATGTCAGTGATGTTCAAATAAGCCTGAATATACTGAAATCAAGAGTCTGGGGTAATTTGTGCATGAACAACAGTGTTCTAGATGACATCTGGTTATATAGTGTCTGCTGGCTTTCCTGGGCCAACACATTGTGCTTTCTGTGTGAATGTTGCGGAGATAGTTTGCCTTGATCATTCATTATATCAATCAGGATACTGGCATACATGTATGAACAACATGGAGAGTCCCGTTAAGGGAAAAAAGAAAATCTTGTCTGCATTTAATTGTTGAAGGTATCTGCCAAAGATACTATATTGTTTCTCAGTTGTTGAATAGCAGAGCTGCAATTTTCATGAGAATTTAGATGTGAAAGAATATTGTGTTTAGCAGACATGCTTACAACTGGGAAATATTAGGGTGGGACACCATTGCCTATTTTCAGCTTGAGCCCCCTTGACCTCTTGGTACATCTCCACATGCATCAACCCATTCTCATTCACTACAGCTTCTTTGCAGCCAGCTCACGTCTGTGATCATTCCACCTGCCCCTCTCCGTGTCCAAGTCAAGTGGGGATTGTAAAAACACTGCCCCTGTCAGCTCCCTCTCTCCTCCAGCCCTCCAGCAGCCTTCTATTCCCTATCAACCTTTATCCCTTCGTATCTTGTCCGTCACGACATGAATTTGCTCATTTGCATTTCATTAAGCTGTTGAATGGCAGGTTCGTGCTTACATGAACATGTTATTGGCCATGTAGCTCGTTAATTAGCCCCTTGTTGACTGTTGGGACTGTGTAAAGTTCAAGTTTGTCATACATGCTAGTTCAATATTTCTTTGCATTTTGACTCATTACAGAGTAATTGTTATTTAAAGAAATGCAGTGAAAAGGGTGATTGCTATTCTATTTATCATTGGATTGTTGAAATCTCCACTAGATAGCTTTTCCTCCAGAATATTGTTCTTGTCACTATTCATCAGGGGTGAGATTTGAAGGGATATTTCCTGATTTCAGGATTATTTCATCAAGATTTTACCAATTTCAGGATTTTTAAAATGATTCTGCATTTGACATCTGGAAAAACCTGAGTTTACCATTAAGGGGTTTTCATGAATAAAAGTTAACATAAAAAAAGGACTGGATATTTCCAGGGATACCTTAAGGCAGACACAAATATATAGATCCTATGCTGCTGCAGGACCTCAGTTTCTGATGCTTCTTTTATGGATATTTCATTTTCCTCCAATCTCACTCCTGATTCAAGCAGCCATTCTATTCAAGTCTGAAAAAAAATTGATTCTTAAACATTTTACTTGTTGTTAAGTGTAAGTCTATCACTCTAAACTTGTTGGTAGAGCTCTATCAAGGGACTTTATATAGTCAATTACAATTGAAGATATAAAACCAAATTCCTGTCTTAACCTAGGGATGTGCATATTTCCATGTTAGCAGTCAGTTAGTGATACAGATTGCCTGTCCAGGACACTGTGTGTGATGTACCTAGTCATTGAGCCCTCAAATTGAATAAATGTTCATGTGGCACTTTGTCTTTGGACTTGATACACCGTCGTCATGCACAGCCATCAGGCAGTCTGCCTGGATGCTAGTCACTGAGTGCAAAGTGGAGGGAGTGCAGTGTGGTATTTTGCATGGAACGCATGTCATTGGTGGGCAAACAGAGCCACAAAACCTGGGGAAATCAAGCAGGGTAGCAGAGATGTGCAGATTCGAGCTGTTCGTAATGTAATTTGACAAGGCCAGCTCTGGGCCATTCTTGCCCAAAATAACAAGTCTTGTCTCAAAGTACTAGACCCACTTTACTAAGCATCAGGCAACAAGTCATGAGGAAGCATAGGGAAGCTGTGCTGGCAGACTCAGGTATGAATTGTTACATTGGTTTTCTGTTTTCCCTCCTACTTGAATGTTACAGTTGCTACTTTCTGATTGTATCAGATTAATCAGAAACTGTGAACCATCATAATACAAAAATCAGATGTTTTTTAGCTGTAATCAGGTGAAGCAGGGTATGTGTACATGTATTTGTCTTTAAAAGAAAAAGTATTACAGTGGTTGACTGAATAACAGAGGCACAGTTTCTTTCATTAAACTGAAAATTGTTTGCTATGAGCAACTGTTACTCACAATGTGATTTTTTTTGGGGGGGGGATACTTTTGCTTTTTGTTCTTAGCAAAAGTCCTATTATTTGATGTAGCTAGATTAACAATGAATCAACATGTAAGCAGTTAACTCTTTGTCCGTGAGTGATAGTTGCATAGCTTGCCAAATGTCTTACCAGACATATGTTGCTTAGTTCAGAATGTTGGTGCATATTTGTTGGAAGGCTTTTCAAAAATAAGAACAGTCCTGGCAGGGCCAGATTGCAGTTTCATATAGGCTCTAAGTACCAAGATTTCATAGGTCCAGATGTACCGGTGTTCTGTTGGCCCCTAGGTACCAGTATTTCAGCCTATAAGTACTACTGTTTCATAGGCATGGAGGCAGAAGTGTTGCATAGGCCTCAGGTACCACAGTTCCATAGGCCCCTTTGTACCAGTGTTTCATAAGCCCTAAGTACTACTGTATAGGCCTCGAGGCTCAAGTGTTTTATTGGCCCTAGGTACCAGTGTTCCATGGGCTGTACGCCATGTTAAACATTATATTTACATTTGTGTAGACCTTTGCATCGTAAATTGATGAGTTGTATAAGCTATGCACTTGCTGGTTTGAAGCTTTCCCTAAATAAAAAAAATTTCAATAGAGATGCTGCGAGTTTTTCAAGAACTGTGTGCTTTATGGCACACTGCCTGTGGTATGTGTATTTTCATTGGTTGTCCAGTTCCTCATTGGGCCTTAAGCATAGTACCTATTGGATAATCTGGCACCGGCTCCTGGAGTTATAGCTTTCATTAAGTTTACATAACATGCAGATATTTTACTCATTTCTCTTTTTGTAAAAAGTGCTAAAAGTACAATATGTAATGTTTGTTTTTAAAATTGCTTCAGTGGAATTTAAAGTGATTTAAAGTAACAAGTCATGCTTCTTGCTCTGTCAAAAATGTTTATAAAGTTTCCAGACTTTTCATGGTCAAACTGTTTTATGCTGAGTGTGAATTTGAGAAGCACAAAGTTGCATAATCATGCTTTAAATTTCCAGAATTGTTAACAGGTAGGAAATTTTGTTGAGTAATACATGTGGTTACAATGTTACACATTGTTCCCTGTATGTGTCCTTTGAATAAGCATAAAGAAAATGCTTATTGTTTAATTAGAAGTTTTCTGTTTCTGCTCACACCGCATTTGATATTTTGAAATTACTTTTTCTTTAATGATATTAGTGAAAATGGACAGGATTACACATAAATGTCTTGTTTACATAAAACAGTCCCATGGGGCTAAGATAGCAAGGGAGAGAAGGGAGAGGTTATCATGCCTCAAATTTTCGAATTGCAACTCCTTCCAGGGCATCTGTTTCTGTTTGGCATCTGTTTCATGTAATGGCAAA